ATCCTTAAGTAACTTGATTTTTTCCACAATTTGAGCACACTAGCATTCAGATCAAGAGACAGTTTTCAGTTTATTTTTATTCATCTTATGAATTTAGATAGAAATCTTTACAATTTTAGCAGGAAAAAAGGTTCTTGATAATATAAATAAGTTATTAATAATTACATATCATGTATAGTAATCAGAATTAGAACTTTAGCAGGAATATATTCTGGAAATAACCAGCCCACTATAAGCTCTTAATAAATACTAAACTGTGACAAATATCTAAGCAATGAGATACACCTTGCTCCGTGCTTCATTCTGTGAGAAATGTGACTTCATTCTGTGAGTCTCATCCTTGTTGCTGAAGGATAGGAATAGAAAAGCAAAAACATGTAAGTGCTTTTCTAAGCTTCCCTTTGAATCAGGCAGAACAGTGAATATTTGACTGACCAAAAGCAAGTCATATGACAGAATTTAGAATCAGTGGACAGGAAATATAGTCCACCTCTTGAAGAGAAGGATTCAGGGAGGGGTAAAGAATTGAAATCATGAATGCAGTCTGCTAGAGGGATTATACTTTTATAATGTGTTTTCATTTGTTATAATAACTGTTTAAAAAGTGTATGTGTGTACTAGAATATTCTTAGATTTAGAATTACTCTTTGGAGGAAAAGAATATAAAGTTTTTTGTTTAGCTTTTCTAATGAATGGCTTCTAAGTAACTGCCTTGCTTTTTCTGCACTTGCTCTTGTTTACAAAGCTGTGCATATTAAACAATTCTGAAGAGTAATAGTTTAAGCAAGATTTTAGAAAATCATTGAGTACTAACCTGAACTCCCATATTTAGTAGTTATACATGTTAAGATATATGTATATTGAAATATTTTTATGCCTTATTTAAACTGTAATTAGTAACACATTTCAACAATACTAGTAACTAGTCATTCAAATAAGAAAAGTAATGCTAGAATTTAAATGATAGCTTTTTGACTGTGGGAATGAATCTGCAGAATTCTTGGTTTAGCCTGTTATTTGATGAGAATTGAGAATTATATTTACAGGGAAGTTAGAAATAATTTATAGTACAGATATTATTCATAGTAATGATTCATCATATGTAAATGATTACATTCATGAACCTAACAAGAATGATAGTAATTGTCTCTAAGTTCATGTAAATATGTTATTTTGGTAGTATTTTACTTAAAAAAAGAAGTATAAGAATACCACAGATACTTTAATGAAGTGAAGTTTCAGTTTTTATCACTTTTTTTTATACTGGTATTGATCTCTCACTGTTCCTCTTGATATTTTAGTGCTCTAACTTCAATAACCTATTCCTGTGTCTAGCTCTACCATCTCCTTTTCTAACAGGGAATAGTAATAGCAAATAAGAAAGAATCTTAATTCGCAGCAGGTTTCATGATACCTAGAATAGAGAGATATGAATAAAGGGGAATTCTGTCATGTCCCCTCCTTGTGTTTTTTTGAACTTAGGTATTCTAGTTTTAATTGTTGAAAGAGCAGGGAGTGTGTATATGGATTCTGTCATTTTTGTCATTAGGCAATTTTACTGATTTGGATAATACATTTTATGTAAGGGGTAACGGAGACTTAGCAGTTATGTCTTGGTGGTATTATGAATTAAGTCTGGTCTTCACCCTGGCATGTTTCAAAACTTGCTTTTATCCCTTTTTCTAGAAGAGCTGAGCAAATAAGAAACATGTACAGCCAAGTTGATGAGGACAGTTTTAAATTTTACTTTGAGAAACAAAAGCAGGCTCAGCAGGTGAGAACACTTGGGATAGCTTTAGAAACACAAGCATAGATTTTGACTTTACTGGTTCTTCTTTGTAGACATTTATGCAGACCATGGTCCTGCAGTTTGAGCATTCTTTCAGATGAGCCATTGATAGAATTATAATTTGTCTTAGTTTAGGACCATTTTGATCTTTTTGTTGAGATTTTAGAGACTTCATAAACTTAGTAAGGTGTCCTAAAATCTTCAGCAATGCTTTTATCCTTTTAGAGGATGATATTTACTTAAAAATTTTGGGTTTGCACTTTTTTGGGAGTGTATGCCTCTTGTCTCATTTACATCTTCTTGTATAATGGCCCTCTATAAGTTTTAATGATTATTATTTGATAAGTTACTGCTATATATATTTAATAAACTTTAAAAATCTGTGATTTTTCAGTCTTCTTAAAAAGAATAGATTGAGAAGAGATAAGGATTTTTGAAAAATTTTGCTTTCAGTAAATGTGAGAGATGAGGTAGTCGGAGGAAGAGGGGTTTTTGTTTTCTTAAAAAAGAATTACAACATGTTTATTTGCTGATGGTAATAATCCAATATGGAAGGAGAAATTGATTATGTATAGTTTTAAAAGTGAAACCCCTGAGTAGTAAACAAAAAGGATGAGATTCAGAGTGTAATTGAGAAATCAGATAGGAATTGAGTCACTTTATCCATTGTATAAAAAGAAGGAAGGCAGAGCAAGTGCGCGCAGATGTAGAGATTGGTGAGGGTAAGTGAGGTCATCCAGTTGCATCGGTGTTCTTGACAGGGCGAAGATCCTTAACTTGGGATGGGAGGTGAGGGGACTGACAGGGATTTGAAGAGACAGAAAAAGGTATATACTATAGCCATTTAGGAGACGAAAGGAACTAATATCAGTGAAGTATAGTATGAGTACAGGGCAGTATTAAACATCTATTTGAAAATTAGGGTCATAAATTTGAGACCAGTAAATGCTATATTTTTAATATAGTTTATAATTATAAAAAATGTCATTACAATTGCTTTGGGGTGCTTACTTTGTTCCAGGCATTATGTTAAGTGTTTTTATTTTCATTCTAACACTCTTAAGAGTGATATTCTCATTTTAGAGGTGAAGTAATAAAGACACATAATGTAGTAAAATCCCATATATTACTTTTTCAGAATTTACATGTTAATACTTGCTGCAGGTGTGTGTGTGCCTGCATGTGTGTGTATGTATGTGTGAATGTGTACATAGAATATAAGAAAAAATAGCACAGTATATAAATGATTTGAAGTCTATTCTGTTTCCTTTTTTTTTTGGAGAGTAAGGCAGAGGCTTTTATTTAGAGATAAAGCAAAAGGACAAAGCTCCTGGCTCATGCCAGGAGGGGACAAGAAAGTCCCCTATTCTGTTTTTTGGGGCCATTACCTTCTTTCTCCCAGAGGCAACTACTTGTGAGTTTAGTATGTATGTAAACTTACAATCCAAATATGATTACCAAAAAAGCTATATTTCTGTTTTATCAAGTTTCTTTATCACCAGTATGTTCTTGAGTTCTTTCCATTTTTATATACATAAAGTTTATAACTTTATTCAATACATAAATATACCACAGTGTATCCGCTCTCCTTTGATGAGCATTGAGGGTGTGTCCAGTGTTTCACCACTACTAGCACTGCCGCAGTTAAACCCTTTTGTACATGTGTTCTTTAGAGATGAGTCCAGGAAGTGAAATTGCCAGGTAATAGGATGCGCATTTCAGTTTTCCTCAAGAATGGCTATGCAAGAAGTATTTGAGAGTAACAGTTTCTCCAATACTTGATGTTAAACTTTCTTGAATGTTTGCAGCCATATTTTTTATCTCATTTTTCTTTGAAATTTGATTATTAGTGAGCTCTGGCATCTTTTCTGAGGTTGTTGATATTGTAGGGGTATATTTTAGAAACAAAATAATGATATAGTATCTTGAAACTTTGTTAAGAAGAGTTGGGAGATTAACATTTCCCAGTTTTTACCCCCTTGCCCAACTCTGCCTTTTATTTAATCCCATGTTTAAAGTAGAAGGGAAAACTCAATTTAGATCTGAGTGGTTGGTACTGGCCTTTTCTTCCATTTGGCTGACTTCAGACCTACTAAGACAACTCTTTGGTAAGGTTCTGAAGGGGGGAAGAAGTAAGCCTTTGAGACTGGTTGGATCTTTATCTCCTAAGTCACATCCCTTGACCCTTAGGAGCTCATTTAATATATATTGACTCTGGTTGATGCCAGGTGGTTTCCTTGGTTTTATGTGTAAAAGTGTGTCAGTAGGATTCCATATGGCTGATTCAGATGAGGAGTCCGACATACTCAGTATTGTAGAGAGTTCATATTATAGGCCATTTTCTAGGATAGTCATGGAAGGCATTTTGGGGCTGTTTATCCCCATCTATAAGGAGAGGAGAGAGTCACATATTTCACCCCCTTTGGCCCTCCCCATTTTTTTGGAGTTGGCGTATGCATACCACATCTATCAAGGTCTGCTGTCACCCATCAAAGATGATAGACTACCTGTATTTTTTCAAGAACAATGACTTCTATAAAGACCCAGAAATGACCATTTTGTCAACATAAATGACCCATGGGGACAAAAGAGGGTGGCTGTAGAAGCATCTCAGTTAATGTCTGTACTAAAACTTGTCTATTCAGATGTCCTTAATCTGAGCATTGTGAACCTTCCATTTATCACTGAGTCCGAGATCTTCCCCTTTAGTTTTAGAGATATTAAAGTTACCGATGGGTTACTGATAACCTCTGAATTATCCTTTTTCTGCTCTGGTGACTATTTTTTAAAAATCATTGTTCTGCAAAATTTCTTGATATGCTTACAACATACTCTATTTTTTCTTTCTTTGCTGGTAGCTGTCTACTCAGACTCTTTTATAATATACTGATGTATCCACCTCCTTACACTATTAAAATTGAAAGTTAAATGAATGTATATAACAAAATTCTATCCATATATTCTAATTTAGGTAGTAATTGAAACTTTCAAAATCCAGAGTAGCATATTATACTTTTTACTACAAAAGTATTTAAAGTTATTTCCTTTGGTAAAATATGTAATTTTCTTCAAGTTATTTACTATCGTTTACCAAGAATGTAGGTCAGAGTCTTTTAGGAAGCAAGAGAAATGTCTGCATTCACTGTATTAAACTTAAGTGAACCTGATTTACTTTTATACTAATAAAATATTTTAAAAACTTGTTTTCTAGGTCAACCATATCCTGATGCAACTTTTCCTTCACAAAGGCAAGACAAATTTTATTCCAATTCTGGTAGACTCTCTGGACCAGCAGAACTTAGAAGTTTTAATATGTCAGCTTTGGATAAAGTGGGTAAGAAATACTTTGTGTGTGTGGTGTATGTGATTTTTTAATAATGGTAGTGCGCCAAAGAACTGAAAGCTGAGTAAAGGACTGATGTAATTGCTATCTCTGGTAGCTCTTAAGGCCAGAATCTCTTACTTGGAAACTTCTTGGTTGTATGTGTCTTGTTATGTTGTGCACGCCTGCGGTGCCTACATAGGCGGTGGTGGTGGGTGTGGATATCATGGTGATGGTTTACTCTGTGTACCTGTGATGGTACATGTTACTCAGTACTTTGAAGTTTTTCCAGCCCGTTTACGTGTATCCCATTCAGTAATCAGGGAAACTAGGCTAGTGTGAATGTGTTTGTGAAAATTCACCAAAATAATAATTTGGGTGTCTGCTCTCTTGCTGGTTTTTACCTTATTTAAATTTTTCATACTTAGTTTTAACTAACATTTATTGAGCAACTTAATATTTTTCAGGCACTCTTCCTTAAACTACCTCATAGCAATTCACTGAAGTTGAGAAATATGTATATCTAATCGATCAATCAGAAGTACATAACATTAAGAATATAAAAAGGTTAAAAAATAAGTAGAGAATTAAAATAAATTTGTTGGTTAAAAACTTTCCTTAAGAAAGGGTATATACTGCGGAGGGGTCGTTATCTGGTTGAATATATGTTATATTAGAAAAATCAATCTTTTTTGAATAATAAAGAAGTAGGCCTATGTTCTGGATTTGTGTTATGTTATAATTAACTTAATTCTTTCTGTTTGACTTTTTTGAAATTGTATTTCCCCATTAATTCAGGTTTAATGAGATGAAAGTGTATGTGTGATTGAACACCTTTATAAACTAATGCTATTTAAAATTTTTTACATGACCATGTTTTTCATAATTGTACAATATCCAATTAGATTTTTTTTAAGTGCCTACTTTTTAGAAGGTGCCCTGCGTGACATAGCAGATAATATTATGAGGTATAGTTTCTGCCTATAAGACACTAATGATTAAATAGGAGAAGAAGACAAATATTCATCTTTAATACTGGTCTGAATAGTAAGTCCCATTAGAGAATAGGCTGTGTTCATAGAAAGGAACTGTCATCTATTTAAAATATCAAGGAAAATGCCCATGAAGGCAGTGTCATCTGAGCTGCTTTTGAGGGAATTGAAAAATTAGTTTGGAGATGGAGGTCTGTGCAAAAATCATGAACAGCATATGCAAAAACAGAAAATAGACAACATGAGTCATTATGGGTAATGACTGTAAAATTGAGATATTAATCACTTGGCAAGGTCTTATGAGGGTTAAATGAGTTAATGTGTGTGGAAGTGTTTTGTAAATAGAAAAGTTCTGTGTAAGTGTAATATATTACTAGTGTGTCAATATGGGCTATACACATGAAGGGGAATGGCGAGTGATGTAGTTGAAACACATTGACTAGTACTAGTGCTCAGTGAACATTTATGGAATGAAAATGAATTATCTGGTTTTATCTTCATGAACCTATGAAATAGACACTATCATCTTCCCTTCATAGATGAGGAAACCAAGGCTCAAAAAGATGCCAAGTTGGAAGTATCAGAGGCAGGATTTGAGCCCATGTCTGTCTGACTCCAGAGCCATGGCCTTGATCTCTATATTTTATTGAAATGGGAGGGCAGTGGAACCAGCCACCGATGCACTAAATGTCTATAGAGCACTTACTGTGTGCTGGGCGTTCCGGTGGTTGCTGTCTTCCAGTGGTGACTAGGAGCACAGCGTTCTTACACCTTGAAGCTGGTCAGGGCCTGCAGGCAGTTGCGCTACATAGTGACAAAAGTAATGAGTATAAAGTGTTACAGGAGCATGTGGGACACTCACCAAGTATTGGTGTTTTGAGTGTGGAATAGTCAAGAAAATCTTGGAGGACATATAACCTGAGAATTAAGGGAGGAATTAGCTGGATCCACAATAATGGTGAGAATGTTCTAGGAGAAGAGAATGACATCTTTAAAGATTTAGAGTTAAGAATGCCTAGTGAACTGTGGTTGCAGCATGGGAGTGTGAGTCAGGGAGTTAAAGCAAGTAGTGAAAAGGTAAGCAGTGCAGAGTTCTCAGGGCCCTGCAAACCTCTTCAGAAATTTGGCCCTTACTTTCAAGGTATTGGGAACATATTAAAGGATTTTAAACCGAGAAATAATATAATGAGATCTGCATGTTAGAGAAATTACTGTGGTTGTGTTATGGTGAATAGATTGGAGGGAGTGGTCAAGATTGAGGACAGGGTAACTTTTTAGGAGATCATGACAGTGAATGATGGTGGTAATTAGCAGAGGGGATAGATAGATAGATGTGAGCAGATGTAGAGAAAATAGAATTGGGAGGATTCAGGATTGCAGGCGTGGGGAGAGAAGGGGAGGAAGGAGTCTTGGCTGATGCCCAGGTTCCTAGCTGTGGCACGTGGGCCATTCATTGTTCTGAGAAAAGGAACAGCAGACAGTTTGGTTGCAAGGATTCTAATACTTACAAAATTAGCACTTGTGAGACACTTGCATGAATATTCAAGTAGGCAGTTCAGGCTTTGACATCCTAGGAGAAATACCTAGATCTGAATTACACATCTGGAAGTCACCAGTAGTATATACCAAATAAAACTGTGGGAATGGATGGGATTTCTCAAGGAGAGAAAGAGAAGAGAATAGGGCCAAGGGTGGAACTCTGAGGAGACTATCATTTAAGGACAGAGGTAGTAAGAGCCTACCACAGACTAAGGAGCACCTAGAAAGGAGAGATAGAAGGAAGGGTGCCATTACAGAGATGAAGGCTGAGAATTTAAAGAGGGAAGGAAGTGTTCAACAATAGCAAGAAATAATACAAAATAAAGACTTTAAATATCTATTTTAATTTAGCCAAAAAGGAGACTTTTTGATCTTGGGGAAATTATTTCAGTGAAACAGTGGGTGTTGCATAGAAAGTGCAGTAAAATGAAGACAAAATGAGAGGAATTTGGAATAATATATACAGAACAATTCTTGATTATGAAAGAAAGAGGTAGCTCTAGGGGGATTCTCTTTTTCTGTGTCATTTTTAAAAAGTAGTTGGGAGACAGACTTCAAGAAGGGACTAGGGGTTACCAAAGGGGAGGGGTGGGAGAGGGCAGGTGGGGAGGGAGGGAGAGGGGGATGGAGGGGTATTATGATTAGTATACATGGTGTGTGTGGGGGTCATGGGGAAGACAGTGTAGCACAGAGAAGACAAGTAGTGACTCTGGCATCTTACTATGCTGAGGGACAGTGACTGCAATGGATTTGAGCCCATTGGGGGGGACTTGATAATATGGGTAAATGTAGGAACCACATTATTTTTCATGTGAAACCTCCATAAGAGTGTACATCAATAATACCTTAATTTAAAAAAAGGTAGTTGGGAGAGACTTGGTGATAGGACGTGTCTGTCAGGAAGAGCCCTGGGAGCTCTGTGAGGAGGGTTCTGAGCTCAGAATCAGGGTCACAGGTTGTCTCAAAGGGTCTTTTTCCATGATAATAGGAGGAAAGATTATAGTTGCTGATACATTTATGTGATGGTTACAAAAAATAAGAGCATTTCTAAATAATTGGTTTTGTAGGTTTGAGGAGAATGGAGGTTTGAAATAGCCGAGGATAGAACTGGCTTAGGAGACAGGGAAAAGGCTAGGCAGTGTGCTGTTTAAAGTTTGGCTGCAGATCCGGCAGCCTGGGGCAGTGCCAGTCTACACGGCTCTGTGTTTCATTTCACCTCCAGAAGTGGTAAGTGGTTCGGGTCTCGGCACAGTGGAAGCAGAGTGTTGGATCGCTGTCTAAAGATAGCACCGAAGTGTTGTCGTGGGAAATGGCCAGCAGGGCAAGGAATTGATGACTGGCTGACGTAATGGACTTTGTAGTCCAGTTAATGAGGGTAGGAATTGAAGAAGGGAGGAATCTGCGTGCTATCCGAGGGCTGGAAGCTTCAGTGACACCCAGGGACGGGTGGAGTGAGAGTCAGCCAGTCAGTCCGAAAGCTAGGGAGATAGGCCGCTGTGGTCAGAGAGGGTTGTTTAGATTTGCCTTCTCAGAAACTGAGCAGTTCTTGATGATAACAATGTCCAGGAACGTTTATTTAGAAACAATGCCTAAAATCAAATGCTGGTCTATGTTATCTGATGGGGGAATAAGGAAGGAAGGATGAGAGGAAGGAAAATGATGAGGGAAGGAAGGTGGGAGGGAGATAAGAAAATAAGGAAGTAAGGCGGGAGAACACTGAAGGAAGGGAGGAGCGAGAGAGGTGCTCCCCCTAAAAGTCTCCTTGCAAGGCTGCTTGCAGCAGGTTGCCTAGAACCCGACTAGGAAACTCAGTGCCCCATGCCTTTGCACAACCTTGAGTCAGCCAAAATTTCCGGGGACCTCAAACTGGTCTTGGGGTCCTAAAATAGGATGCTGACAGGTTGCTGGTATCAAGCTGGTTTATGCACCAACTGGGGGAGTGGAAAAATATCAATGTCCTTTGTAATCTGGATATATTCTAGGAATGGAGTGAGAAATCATGTGTATTTTATGGTTCTTAACTTTTATGTCTAGATGGGCCACTACCTTCTGAAATGGAATCCAGTAGAAATGATAGCAAAGGTGATGTTGCTGTAAGTATTGAAAGTGGAATTTTGTCCATGTATTCAGGAGCTTTCTAATCTGTTGGTTTGCTGTAATAGGAATTTAGCTAGCAGTCTAGCTTTTGATGATATAAAGCTGCTTTTCTCATTTTGATGATATAAAGCTGCTAGTCTCAACCTAGACTAGAGGCTTGAGTTAGTTTGCTATAGTTAAACAAGAATTTGTATTTTCTCCCTTGGATTTTTTATTTGAATGTTTTAATAATATATTATTTAACAAATATGATATATTTGTTATGATGTGTACATACATACAAATATGTAAATATATGTATTTGTTACTATGTTTATAATTTCAGTTTTGGTCACTCTATAGTATGTTGAAAATATAAATATAAATATTTCTTTTTTTTGGAATATGCTTGATAAAAGAATGTGTATTTTGGTGCTCTTGGACTATTCCTGTGTTTTATCTTTAGCCAGAATATTACTTTGTTGTTTAAAGCTGTTTTCTATTAATAAAATGTTTGTGATAGTAAAAATCCACTTGCTGTATGTAGAAAACTGAATCTTTGTGAGGAGCTTTTAAAGACTATCATAGACTGCTTTCTGCGTAGGTGCCATCATGCTTTCTTTAGAACCTAAGATTTTCAGAACAACAATTGCAGATTTGCTGTTGTTTTAATGACTGCCATAATCTCAATTTGTTATAGAATTTAAATGTGCCTGATTCATCTCTCCCTGCTGAAAGTGAAGCAACTGGCCCTGGATTTGTTCCTCCACCTCTTGCTCCAATCAGAGGTCCGTTGTTTCCAGTGGATACAAGGGGCCCGTTCATGAGAAGAGGTCCTTCTTTTCCTCCACCTCTTCCAGGAAGCGTATATGGACCATCCCGAGGTTATTTTCCATCAAGGGATTTTCCTGGCCCACCACGTCCTCCATTTCTAAGTATGCTTTTTTTTAAAAAACTAAATATGTGTTTTATAGAGTAAATCAGAGAGATTAATTCTACTTTCTGTTCATATAGTAATACAGTGCAAGAAAATTTTTCTCATGTTTTGTGAGTGTACCATTACTTTTCCAATATGGGAAGGCAGCTAGCCATTGGTACACTGTAAGGAGGCTTCAGTTTGATTCATCTTAATAATGTGGAATTATTCCTGTATTTCAGTAGTCAAGAAAGTCTTCAGCTTTTTGCAGCAGTCTTATGTTAAGACTAAAATTGTTTGATAGAAACTGGTTACTGCATCAGTTAGTAAAAATAATCACAGTATGTATCTCACTATTAAAATTACTGGCCAAAATATTTTTTAAGAAATCTTTTTCATAAGTAGTTCCCTTGTAATCCTACTTATTTAAAACCTAAAGTATTTATCATATTTGGACTAACTGTTGAACTCATTAAAATTTTCATAGACTTACATAAAAAAAGGAATAATTGATTGTATTTATATCTATACATTGCCAATTAGAACTATAAGTTTCTACAGAATAAATACATAGTTACCACACACTAGGCAGAGGCCTATTACTTGTCTAATGAGGTCATTCCTTCCCTTATCTCTCTTTGTTTATAAAGTTTAAGATGAATTTAAATGAACTTTTTGGGGGAATTTCAAGGTGATGTTTGATATATTTATAAATGTTTTAGTATAATATCAAAAAAGAATTGGGAATTACTGAACTGAATATAAGTCCGGTGACAATTATGTTACATGAAAGCTTTTTTTAAAGTTAAAGTAAGTTTTGTATACTTTGAAATAATTCCTCTCCTTTTTAACAAGTGTTAAGATGTTAGATTTTCATAGGATAAAAGCTGTCTAAATTAATGATATTCCCTTTAGTCATGTGTAATTGAAGAGAGTATATTTTCTTCAAGTCAAGGTTGTAAAAATTCGTTTTTTTAGATTAAGGATTTATTCTGCCATCAGTTTTTAAGTATAATAGATACTGAAAGTTATAAGCTACTATATTAGGGCTGCAGAATAGGTTCTTAAAGTTAAAAAATGTCTTTTATCAATCTCTTTGAACAGTGAGAAATACCTACCCACCAAGAGGTTTTCCTCCTTATCTTCCCCCAAGAGCTGGATTTGTGCCCCCTCCCCCACCTCCTGAAAGTAGCAGTGCGTTCCCAGCAGGGTTGACTCGGCCTTCGCATGAGCCAGCTGCTGAACATCCAGAACCACAAACAGAAACTTGACAATATTTTTGGTCTCTCTTCAAAAGTAATTTTGACTTCTCTCTCATTTTCAGTTAAGTAACTGCTGTTACTTAAGTGATTATACTTTTGCTCAAATTGAAGCTTAATGAAATTTATAATTCTCAGGATAGTATTTTGTAAATAAAGATGATTTAAATATGAATCTTATGAGTAAATTATTTCCATTTTATTTTATTCAAGATGGTATAATTATTTTAATTTGATTAACTAATCCACTATCTCATGAACAATAATAGGAATTTGATATATGTAATCTTTCAGTTGGGGATGTTTTAAATCCCAAAAGGCTGTTTGTGTCTTTATGCTCAAGAACTGTATTTACTATGGTTGTAGACAAATGTGAAAATAAATTTATGCTTAATTAAATAAATATTAATTGATTTAAAGACTTGTTTGGCATTGATAATAATAATAATAAAATCATCTAGTTTTTCCATAAATATGGCTCCATTAGTTAGTTTTTTACTTCTTCCAGTAGATTTGAGGATCAAAATTAAAGTTTTATATGGATCTTTCCCTTTCATTTATTGTACAAATATGTGCCCTCTTTCTTGCACAAGTAGATATGAATGACCAAAGCAACCAATTAACATACTTTTAAAAGTCAAAGTTGTTTATATTTTAAGGAAAACCAGAATATTTTCTAATGGCAAATTTCAGATTTTGGATCATCTTAGCTCATTCACTAGTTTCCTGTACAATTTTATTTCTCTCTGTTCATTTGTAAGATATTTACTGTTTTTAGAGGGGAGTGTTCGATTTACTGTAGGAGAAGTGTATTCAGACAATGTGTCATCATTTTGAGCTTTGGACTCAGTATCTTTAGAATGTTTCTCTAACTCCAGTTTGTATTCTATTATTAGTCTTTTTGCACATTAATATAATTATGAAAGGAAAGGCAATTAAATGTAGCTAATAAAATATTACAATACTTAGGTTGAGAACTTGGTTGTTTTTAGTTGTTTACTTGGATATTGTCTTCAATGCCGAAAGACATAATTTAAATATTCTTGAACACAGCAGTGATGCATTATTATTGGAACACTTCATGCCAGTGTTTCCCGACATGTTCTTTGGAACGCTCTTCTTGTGAGTTATTTCCACTCTTTTCATTGTTACCCCCCCACCCCTTAGAAAAAAAGGCGAAAAAGAGAAAGGCTCCATGTGAAATGCTTGGATAAAATATTAAGTAGAATGGGAACTGTAAAGGTATCATTACAGTTGGTGTTTAAAAACCAGATTTCAAGGGGAAATATAAACTCCTTTATAATGAAGAAGAGAAACAGGAATGGAGCGATACAGAACATTCCAGTCAAGACAGAATTTGTTGTTTGCCCTCAGGTCGGGGAGAATTGGCTCATGAGAGAAGAGAAGGAGAGCGGAGAATACAGATCAAACATGATAGAGAGAGTGGTAATCAACTGAGGAGGCAGAACCATAGAGGAGGCAGGGAAGACATTGGATGAGAGCAGGTGGGAGACAGGAAGACCAGATGTGAGCTGAGTAGGTTAAGGTACTTTGTGGTTCTAGAATAAATGAACGTATTTAGCTTTAAAAAATATTCTTCTTAAAGTCATAGAACCAAATGGAAATAAATTATAGTATTTAATTAAATAATAGTATGTATTTTAATAGTAATTAAAATAATAGTATTTTAGGATGAATAGCAAGTTTTTCCCATTTACTCATTTCCCTGGTTCTATTTCCTAGTTTCTCTTTTAGCTCTTTTTCCATATTTTATTCTGTGATTGTAGAATTTTAGATCTCATACCTCTAATCCCTAATTAGATTATATTACATGTGTGATTTATTAAATATATCAGTTGGGGTATTGATTCCTTGAGATGAAAAATTAGAGGACTTAACATGTATACTATTCCCATCCCCATTTTCCTTTGCTCTTTATATTTGATATTTATCTCAATTAAACTTTTCAATTGTTACCTTTGTAATTTGAATATATTTAAACCTCTGTTAGTGCTCCTTCTCTGTATTCCACCTTCCCTTATCCCCTACCCTGGCCAAAATCCTGTTCTCTTGGGTATACATTTATGTTTTCAAGATTGCTAATAATTATGCCTATAAGCAATAACCTCTCTTCTAGGTCCGTAGTGGATTTAAAATTCAAAAATCAATAAATACAATTTACATTATCATCATTTAAATATTATTCACTGTCAGGCCAAATCATATACTAAGTTTATATTTCCTTCTCTATGAACCGCAGTGTCATAATTCCTGGGTCATTCTGAAGAGAATGTTCTTAAACATCAAGGTCAGATGAGTATTTTTTTTTATCTTGCTCTGTCTTCCTGCATTTACCCATAATAGTAAAAAATAATAGTCACATTTTGGTTAGCTTTATACCTAAGCCAAGTATACAAACCCCTTTTCCACTTTTCTAGTGTGTTTTTTCTGCCCCCACCCAAAATTATTTATCATTATCATGCCCTAATTAAAAAAAAAAGTCTCTGTTGGATGTATTATTTATTTATTTGTTTGTTTATTTTTGTTGAAGACTTGTAAGCCTTTGTTCTTGCTGCAAACCAGACTGGCTGCTCTCTAGACCTTTGAACAGAAACTGTCTTTTTAATGACTTCTTGGGATTGTTTCTGTTTCATAGATCCTCTATCTTGTTGGGTTTTATTTATTTTTTTTAGGTCTTTGTTTTACTAGAGTTTACTCTTAATTTCCTAAGAAAGAATATAGAGAATGTAAAATTTATGAATCCTTGGATGTTTGGAAAATTTCAATCCTCCCATCCCCTTTCTTAGTTTATGTGGGTCAGAGTTTTGAATATATTATTCTTTTAGTATCAATTAATATAAATATATTGTTCTTTAATATTCATTTTTGTTGATAAGAAGTGTGAAGGGAATTTGATTCTGTTGTCTGTAGATAGCCTGATTTTTTTCCTATAGAAATGTAAGATTTTATTTTTGGTGTTCTAAAAATCAGTTTGATGTGTCCTCATGTGAGATTCTTTTCATTCACTTTTGAGTTATGTCAGATTCTTTGAGAAGCAGATTCCAAAATGGAATTAGATACTGAAGAGATTTATTGAGGGAGACACCTGGGAAGGCTTAAGGGGAGAGAGCCTTCAGACTGACTCAGATCGCTCTCTGTGAAAGGACAGAGGATAGGAAGGAAGACTGGATAGAAAGAGCCTCAGATTGCTGGGCAGCTCGGCAGCAGCCTGAGCTGGGCAGAGGCAATCCTCAGGGCAAAGATGGCCTGTTGGAGGATCTCTCATTGGGTAGGAATGGCTCTACTCCAGTAGCCCTGTGTGCTCTGTCCTTGGCTGGGAGCGGACCCCAGGGAGAACCTGGTCTTGGCATGAATGCTGCATGTGCAGCAGCAGTTGGAGGTTGCCGATAACTATATTCCTTGCAACAGTCTGTCTCTTGAAGGGAGATAGGATGGGTATACTCTTGTCTGTCACATTGTTAGGCACTTAAACTCTGAAGAGCTGTGTCTTAAAACTCTGGGAAATTCTTTTTTCTCTTTGGTAAATTTTTGCTACTTTTTCTCTCATACTTTTCACCTTTTTTTTGTTGTTGTGGAAAATTTTCTCAACTCTATATTCCAGTCACTCACATAAAGTTTTTATTTTCAGCAATCATGTTTAATCTTTAAAAGCTTTTTTTAAAATTATACTTTGTTCCTTTTTCATAGATCCTATCTTTTTTGTAAGGATAAAATATACTGAACTAGATGGCTCTTACTCTTCTGGCTTGGGTTAAAGTCCCATTTCCGAACCAGTCCTTTGTGGCTGGGACATGAAATCAGAAGCTATCTCCTATAGTTGAGCAGGGTAATCCCAACCTGAATTTGTGGAATAAAATTCTTATAAGAAGGGTTCTTTTATCAGAAAGCAGAAATAGTAGGGTCCATTACACACAAGAACAATCTTATTCCTCTTTTCCTAGAAAGCTAGGGTTTTTGTTTTAAGGTTTCCAGCTTGCTTGTGTAAACTCGACTTTGTGTGAAAATGTAAAAAAAAAAATTCATGCAGAATAAATATGAAATATCATTTTTTAGATTTAAAAAATTGTTTTGGGAATAGTTCCTGTGTCAAGGAGCTATGGCTTATAAGGGAATACAGCATAGTGTGTATGCAGCATAATAGTATGATGTGGTTGACAGAACAGATTAAAGATTTATATAATGTTCAGTATCCAAATTAGATTTAGCAGTTTTTGGATAATTTTGTTCTCTTCTGAATGCCATGTTAAATGTGGCTTTACATTCTGTCATCTTAGTAAATTTTAATGATTTGAGGATATGTTTAGTTGAGAGATCTAAGAGTGTAGAAAGGGGAAATATACTTTAAAAAGGATCTTAAAACCTGATAAAAGCTTGCACTGATGCAGTGGAGCAGAAAGAAGTCCTAAGGACTGATGTTTAGTGTGTAAATGGGTACAGAGACTCTATACAAAGCTAGGGCTAAACACTGAATATAAAGATCTTAGAAGACTCACTTTAGAAGATTCAGAAGCTACACTGTAGTACCGCTTCCTCTAGTGATGACTTGTGCATGCCCATACTTCCCACCGTAACTGAGGTCATGATAAAAAATAAGTGTGCTCTGAGGGAAAACCAGGAGATACAACAGGAAAATTAGCAACCCAAGTTACTAAATTGAGATAATAATCTGAATGAGGTTATGAAGTATATTTTTTAAATAACTTGCGAGAGAAAAGAAAGAATGAAAGCCACAAAGAACAGGACAGTATGAACAAGGTCAAGGCCTAATTGTAAAGAATCAAGTAGAATATCTAGAAATGAAAAAACAAGTCACTGGAAAAGCAAAACTCAAGGGATGAATTAAATTAGCAGATTGGACCTAGGTAAAATGAGAAAAAAAATATGGATCTGAGGAAATTACCACAATATAGTGCAGAGATAAAGAGATAGAAATTATGAAAGAGAGGTTAAAGGACATGGAGGATGTAAGGAAAAGCCCAGCAGGAGACTTTTACCACAATATAGTGCAGAGATAAAGAGATAGAAATTATGAAAGAGAGGTTAAAGGACATGGAGGATGTAAGGAAAAGCCCAGCAGGAGACTAGTGTGAGTTGCAGAGGGAGAGACTGGAACAAAGGCAACATTCAAAGAAATAGCTGAGAATTTCCCTGAATTGATAGGAGGCATAATTTCTCAGACTGAGGAAGCACTCTAAAGTCCAAAGCAGATTAATAAAAGCATACCTATATCTAAACATATCATTGGGAATATGTGGAATATTAAGGAAATAAAATTCTAAAAGTAAGCAGTGACGAAGATAAATTACCTTATAAACAATCAACAGACTGATAGTAGCCTTCTTGGTTATTGTACAATAATGTAGTATGGAGTACTTTTTTTTTTCAGCTTTTTTGAGTT